ATTGGCTACACTAACAATTACAACTCAAGCACCAACAACTGCAACTCCTACTCCAACAACTACACTTCAAGCACCAACAACTGCAACTGCTACACCAACAACAAGTCAATTACCACCAACTACAACGTCTACACCAATTACAGCATCTCAAGTACCAACAACAACATTTGCTACACCAACAACTACAACTCAAGCACCAACAGCTACAACTGCTACACCAAATACAGCATCTCAAGTACCAACAACAAATGCAACAATAACAACCACAACTCAAGCAATATCAACCACAACTAAAGTACCAACAACAATGCAAGCTCCAACAACCACAACTGCTACATTAACAACTACAACATCTACACCAACAACTGCAACTGTTCCTCCAACAACTACAACTCAAGCAATATCAACCACAACTGTTAAACCAACCACCACAACTCAAGTACCAACAACAACTGCTACACCAACAACTACAACTGCTACACCAACAACAACAAGTCAATTACCAACTACAAATGCTACAACAACAACTACAACTCAAGCAATAACAACCACAACTGTTAAACCAACCACCACAACTCAAGTACCAACAACAACTGCTACACCAACAACTACAACTCAAGCTCCAACAACTGCTACACCAACAACAACAAGTCAGTTACCAACAACTACAACATCTACACCAACATCTTCAATTCAAGCACCAACAACTACAACTGCTACACCAACAACAACAAGTCAGTTACCAATAACTGCAACATTTACACCAACAACTACAACTGCTACTCCAACAACAACAAGTCAGTTGCCAACAACTTCAACTGCTACACCAACAACTTCAACTCAAGCACCATCAACTACAACTGCTACACCAACAACAAGTCAATTGCCAACAACTACAAATGCTACACCAACAACTACAACTCAAGCACCAACAACTACAATTGCTACACCAAGTACAGCATCTCAAGTACCAACAACAACTGCAACAGTAACAACCACTACTCAAGCAATATCAACCACATCAGTTAAACCAACCACCACAACTCAAGCACCTTCAACCACAACTTCAGAACAAACGACCGTATCGCAAGCAACATCATCAACAAGAATAAAAGCTCCAACAACTATAACTGCTACACCAACAACTAGAACTCTAGCACCAACAACAACATTTGCTACACCAACAACTACAACTCAAGCACCAACAACTACAACTGCTACACCAATAACTACAACTCAAGTACCAACAACTACAAATGCTGCACCAACAACAACAAGTCAGTTACCAACAACTACAAATGTTACACCAACAACTACAACTCAAGTACCAACAGCTACAACTGCTACACCAACTACAGCATCTCAAGTACCAACAACAAATGCAACTATAACAACCGCAACTCAAGCAATATCAACCACAACTAAAGTACCAACAACAGGTCAAGTTCCAACATCTACATTTGCTACACTAACAACTACAACATCTACACCAACAACTGTAACTGTTCCTCCAACAACTACAACTCAAGCAATATCAACCACAACTGTTAAACCAACCACCGCAACTCAAGTACCAACAACAACTGCTACACCAACAACTACACCTCAAGCTCAAACAACAACTGCTACACCAACAATAACAAGTCAGTTACCAACAACTACAACATCTACACCAACATCTTCAATTCAGGCACCAACAACTACAACTGCTACACCAACAACAACAAGTCAGTTGCCAACAACTACAAATGCTACACCAACATCTTCAACTCAAGCACCATCAACTACAACTGCTACGCCAACAACAAGTCAATTGCCAACAACTACAAATGCTACACCAAAAACTACAACTCAAGCACCAACAACTACAACTGCTACACCAAGTACAGCATCTCAAGTACCAACAACAACTGCAACAGTAACAACCACAACTCAAGCAATATCAACCACATCAGTTAAACCAACCACCACAACTCAAGCACCTTCAACCACAACTTCAGAACAAACGACCGTACCGCAAGCAACATCATCAACAAGAATAAAAGCTCCAACAACTATAACTGCTACACCAACAACTACAACTCTAGCACCAACAACAACATTTGCTACACCAACAACTAGAACTCAAGCACCAACAACTACAACTGCTACATCAACAACCTTAACTCAAGCACCAACAACTACAACTGCTACACCAATAACTACAACTCAAGTACCAACAACTACAAATCCTGCACCAACAACAACAAGTCAGTTACCAACAACTACAAATGTTACACCAACAACTACAACTCAAGTACCAACAGCTACAACTGCTACACCAACTACAGCATCTCAAGTACCAACAACAAATGCAACAATAACAACCTCAACTCAAGCAATATCAACCACAACTGTTAAACCAACCACCACAACTCAAGTACCTACAACAACTGCTACACCAACAACTACACCTCAAGCTCCAACAACAACTGCTACACCAACAAC